CAATTGTAAGTTTTGAAAACAGTCATTCATTCTGAACTTGTCATGTCACAAAGAAATTATTTGGCCTCAACTTCAAAGTTGAGGCCAAATAATGAGCCACTTCTTCCAGCTGTTCTTCCACATCCCAAGATACTGTTGAAATATAATTTTAATTCTCAACAATACTTTCTTATTCTTAGCACTAATAAATGAACAGGTCTTGCAGTAACTGTGGCTACATCAGCGCTTCCTCTTTCTCATCCCACCAGCTTCAACACAAAGTTAAACGCTTGCATTCAAATAATGATATATGACAGATTTTAGATAATTTTTTCCTGCATAATGTGCATTGCATGTATTCTACGTTGGGCAACGTATCTTGAACGACAATATTAAATAAAAGTAGAAGAAGCAATAAAACTTTAATGTCAAACCTGAACTTCCGTTTCCAGCTTCTCTTCTGGCCGTACAGGTGAGTGCTTCTCTGATTGGCCTGTAGGTGGCGGTAATGCACCTGAAGTTGGTTTGCAGCCGCCACTGTACCTAGAAAAAGAAGAAGAAGATAATTAACACCGGTTCTGTATTTCATTTAAAACCGACCTGCTTTGCTCGGTAAGTTGTTGGTTTTTCTATTTATTTGTGTCATATTGTGACCGAGCATCTGGACCCATGAAGGTTGTTAGCTGCGCTTTAATAAAAGTGTCATTTTGTGTTGCTTCGTAAACATTCCGCCACTCGGACTCTCAGCTTTGATTCTAAGTTCTGGTTGGGAAATGTCGAGCTCTTTATTATTAATGTTGCATTTTCCTCTGGTTGGCGTCATAAGGGCAGGAAAAGTCGGAGAAAGTCACTTTATTCACTATTCAGTTGAACCAGGAGGAAAACCACCGCTTACTTTATTGCAAACAGTCAGAACTGCGCATGTCTCACATCTTAAATGGTCCCACAATGATGACGTCAGTGAAGAGGCCGGGTCCAGTCCTCACTCTGCAGCCTGCGCTCTCGATGAAGTGTTTACTCAGTGTTTTATTGAAGTTTGTAAAATTGTGGAGGTAGCCCTGTGACGTCACTTCCACATCCAAAAAAATAAACTACAAAATAACTAATAGAACCAAATAACTTTCTATTCCACAGCAGATTTGACATTAATTCATAATTATCTATTAAGTTTTCTGTAATGAGTTTTCTGTAAAAGAAAATCTAAAATAAATATCAATTCCTATTTTGTGTTTTTGAGAGAATCATTTTTTCAATTGCAACTTCATGAATGTTTTTAGAAATATTTTGAAAACTGAATTTTGTACAATAAATCTGTTCCACAAGTTTTAATCTTATAAAATTTGATGAAAAGTTAAATTATGATATTGACAATTTCATCCTCTGTCAAAGTTTTTATTTATTCTAAAAATCATTTGCATTTTTAAAGTGAAATGATTTTATTTAATAAAGTGCTTAAACATTGCAACATCACAAAATCCTAATATTTATACCAATATATTAACTTAATTTAAGATTTAAATTCATCTCTCATTTTTTACATTTTCTGTTTTTCTTTCTTTCCTCACAGTTAGTTTGCGACGATTGTTTTTTATTTCTTTTTTCTGCTCAGTTTATGAGAAACTACGTAGTAAGAAAAGAACTTTGAACATGAACAGTTCTGAACTGAACTGGTTCTGTTTCAAATGAATTAATTAGTTCTTGTTTTCTCCTCAGTTCAGAATCTCAGGATGAGAACTGAAGACGATCTGCCACCGTTTCCCCGCCCCTCCTGGTCTTGATCCTGATCCTGGTTCTGGTCCTGGTTCTGGTCCTGGTTCTGATCCTGGTTCTAATCCTGATCTTGGTTCTGATACTGGTTCTGTTCCTTCGTCGCTCCTGGTGGTTCTGTTCGGCCCGTTTGCGCTCCGCGTCCTCGTCATGGTGGGCTTTGTTTAGTCCAGCCGTCTGCAGCTTTTCCAATCCAGAGACATTTTTTGCTTTTCCAGGTAAATAAAACGGGTCCAGAGCCACAAAATGACATTTTAAAATATTTACTTCATTTATTTAGCTGTTAGAGGAAATATTTTAAAAAGAAAAACAAACTTCCTGAAAAAAATGTTTTTATATAGGATGTTTATATTTACACATGGCTTTTTATTTTAATATCAAGAAAAATACATCTAAATAAAATAATGATGAATCAATTATTAAAATAAGAGTCAGCTAATTTGGTAATTGATAAATCAGTAACTTAAGTATTGACTCTTAAATGTTAATTTGCATTCAGATGTAATTAAACCAAAACTGAACAAAAAATCTATAATTTTACATTTAAAATAGAATAAAATCTTGTTTGTAAATATTTTCTACTCAGAAGTCATTAAACTGCAAAAATAAAAACATCTTATTCACTATTAATTAATTTTTCATCAAATTAAAAAATTGAATAAAATTATTATCTCAGTCCTGCACTCTGTGAAGTTTAACGAGTTTTTAGAAATACAAATTCTTTGCTACAATTATCAAGCGTTTATTAAAGAAATGCTATTGCATTTTAGGCAACAAAGTGTTATTGTTTAAAAAATAAATTAATTAGTTTGTAATTTACTCCTAATATTACAGAAAAAAGGCTCAAATAGTTTGGTGATTGATAACTAAAATATAAGTTCAATAAATACCACTTGCCTAATATTTACATTTTAAATTTAATACTTAAAAAATCCTGTGTGTAAATATTTTCTATCCAAAACTCCTTAAGTGTCACTTTTAGCTTCACCAAGTAAAAAGAAAATATCTTAACCAATTATTAATTGATTATTTAATAAAATAATCAACAGATCAGTTTCTCCTCTATTGACAAGCAGCTAGAAATTATCGAGTGTTCAAGAAAGAAATTCTGTTTAAATTTTAGGCAATAAAATGTTTATTTTCATATTTAAAATAGTGGCTGAACTATTTCATTATTTTCATCTTGTATTTCTAATATTGTAGAAAGTTTAAAGTGAAAAATACTCAAAATGTGATTTTGATTTTTATCACATTTTGTTACTTAAACACTTTTAAAGTCATTTGTTGTGAAAATGAAAAAGTAATTTTCACTAAAAAGTGTAAAATGGTTAAATTTGTATGTTTTCTTTGTTAAACTTGAGTTTGTGATCTTTAGTCCTAATGAGCTGCAGGCTGCAGAGCTCTGCTTTAATTAGTCTAACTTACCTTCATCACTGCTGAAGACTCTGAAAACTCTCCTGTTTGTATCAATGTGACTCTGCTCGGCTTGTCGGGCTTTAATTGTTCCCTCTGAGGTGGAGGCCCAGAGAAAGTATTTCTGTGTAAAGATGAAGAAATAAAGCTGGAGTCTGTGAGAAGCCGAGTCCTGCTGGTGGATTTACTGCTGAACAGACGAAGGTCTGCAGGAGCCCAACGAGTCGCTGCAGAGAATCTGGAAAGTCTTTGGTCTGAAGATGAAGAGAATCTGAAGACCTGAAGCTCCAAGCTGTCATCAACTCTCTGATCAACACGTTTCCTCACCTCTTTTCTTCCCTCGCCAGGTTTTTCCACAAAATTTGACAAAGTGTGAAAATGTGGTGATTTTTTCGTGACAAATTTACACGGAAATGATTTATTTTTGTAATGAGCAGTAGCTCAGAGGAATAAGAAGTGGACTGGGAGTCCACAGGTTGCAGGTTCGAGTCCTGAACTCTACCGATTTTACTTGAATTTTTCCTTTATTTGAGTCAAAACGCAACAAGATCCTTGCTGGACTCGAACCAACAACCTTTAGATAAGCAGCCTGTATTCCTCCTCTCTCCGCCACTCGCTCATCTACACTAAATAGCTTTTTTTTTTAAAACTTGTCTTCTGTTTTGGAGGATTTGGGTGAAAAAGGGGCGTTGACCGTGACGACTGGAGGCGTGGCTTCAGAATCGTCTCTGATCCAGGAAAGTCAAAGTTCAGAATCCAGAAGGTCCAAACTGAGCTGATGCATCTGGGCAGGAAAAGCAGAACCAACATTTACTGCTCAACATGTTCAGAACAACAACGGAGGAGATCTGGAACAATTTCACTTCAACTGCAGCTCCACTTTTACTTCTTCACTTGGAGGCTTTTTATTTCTCCTCACATGTTGGGAACTTTAAGATCATTGAAACCAGAAGGAAAATATTGATTTTCCATCCAATGATCAGTTGCAACTTTGTAAAAACACAAAATATTTCCCAGTGTTTCAGTTTCTGTTGCAAAGGGAGAAAAGAAAAACTTTTTCTGCAAATTCATGAAATACAAAAATCTAACTTTAACTTTTGAAATTTAGCCTCACCTGGTTGGAAATAGAAGAGAAAAAATAAAATGAGGTTTAGTGAAAACACAACCGACTCTAATGACATATAAAATTTGTATATATAAAAAAGAAACGTTTGAAAATATAAAACATAAAATAAAAAGTCTGGAAAGTCAGAAACATTTAGAAGCAGTTGTTTTAATTCCTGAATGTCAGATGAAATTATTACTAATTAAATGACAGGAATTCAGTTTGTTTTTATATATTTAGTTTTTATTTGGATAAATATCTGCTGGTGGCTCAGCGGCATAAATACACAAGAAGAACCAGAACAAAACGTCACATGATCCAAAGAGCTGCAGCTCGGACCGCGCCGCGCCGCAGCTTTGTGCTTCCTCAGTGACCTTTGACCCCACTACCCGCCGGTTCTGACCTGACTTCTGGAATGATCCTCCTTTTTTTTAAAGTTTGGATTTGGGAGAAAAAAACAAATAAAACATGATTGTTTCAAACTTTCAGCACAAAAACAGAACCGGACTCTTCAAGTATGAGTCAGTAACAATCTGCATGGGAAAGCGTGTCAGCGTCCTGAGTGGAACACACACACACACACACACACACACACACACACACACACACACCCACACACCCACACACACACACACACACACACACACACACACACACACACACACACACACACACACCCACACACACACACACACACACACACACCCACACACACACACACACACCTCAAACTTGCCATCAGCAGGGAGAATATTCAGGATTCAGCCGAATCTTGGACCAGAACTTCACCCAGCAGGTCTTACTGGTTCTGGTGAAGGTCGTTACCGTGGTAACACTTCCTGCCACCTGAACATTCATCCCTTCTGACTGCGGCTCGGTCAGAACCGGTCCATTCAATCTGGCAGAACAGATAAACATGATGAGGAGCTTTTATACTGAAGGAGCCTCCAGGAAGTCACAGCATGCCGTCCAGGTTCTTCTCGGCGCTCTGCGAGTCGGCGGCGGTGGCGGCGGCGGCATCCTGAGGGCTGTACTGGGTGTGGTAGTCTCTGAGGATGGTGACCACGTCGTGATGGCCGAAGTGCACCGCCTCGTCCATCGGCGTGTTGCCCCACCTGCACGCAAAACACGACAACACCATGAAAACGCTGCTGGAACGCTTTCAGGACAAAGTTTGATGCTAAAAAATAACAAAATGAAGGAAGAAAAGAAACAAGAGAGAGGAAATGAAGGAAGGAAGTAAGAAGAACAAAGTAAGGAGAGTAAAAAGGAAGTGAAGAAGAAGGAAATGAAGAAGGAAATATGGAGAGAGAAGGAAGGAAGGTCAAAGGAAAGGAGGAAAGATGTCAGCAGACAGGAAATAAACATGGAGACACTGAGGACCAGGTCTGAACTGGTCCTCAGTGTCTCTGTGTCCCTGGAGACGCTCCTACCTGTCCTTGGGGACCGGGTTGACCTTACAGGCCTCCCAGCAGGAAGCGGACCACCTCAGCGTGACCTGGAACACACCAGCAGAACCTCAGCCTTCACAACACACACATAGCAGGAAGCAGCCGCCTCCACTTCCTGTCTGGGCCTGACCTTCAGCAGCAGCAGCTGACCCTCCTCTGGTCTCCTCCCTCCCTGCGGGGGTCCCGCATCTTGAAGTGCCTCAGCTCCTCATCCTCTCACTTCCAGCTGGATGAAGATTCTCAATCAGCTGTTTAGATTCTGTCAGAGAGATCAGACCAGGACCGTGTTAATGCGGTTCCACTAAAACCCACTTTCTGTAAATGAACTGATCAAATATTGTCACCATCACTGGACAAAAAGCAGCAGCTAATCAATCAGAACATCAACATTCACCAGAATCACTGAGTATAAAACAAGCTGCTGCTGCTGCTATTCAGTTAGCATCGTTAGCTCCGCTCAGAGTCTCTGCGGGATGTTCTCATCTCTGTGGAGCTGCTTCTAGTTCACACTGACAGATAAAACACTGATTTCATGTTAAAATAGGAAGAAGATTTAAGAAATAACAGCAGAAACACCAAGAGAGCAACAAGGGAGCCGATCAGGAACTGGAATCCAGCTAACTGCTAACTTAGCCTTCTGCCCCCTTCTTCTTCTTTTCTATTATGGCGGATCGCAAGCAACTTTAAGGTGCATACCGCCACCTACTGTACACGAGTGTGAAGCAACAGTATTTCACATCAGTCAGATTCTATTTTTTTATTTTGAAGATAAAAATAGTGCTTTCCTTAATATGCAAATATCCATTATATTTCCATCATTCCCCAGTATTCCTTTCAAACCATTCTTGATCTGTCCTTCCAACTATTCTTCTCAATTTCTCCCTTTCACATTCATGTTTTACAGTTCATTAATACATGTTCTATGTTTACATTCTCTCCACATTCTTCACACATATCATTGTTTTTCTTCCTTATTAAATATAAAGTATCATTTCAATATGTATGCCCTACTGTTAATCTAATCATTATTTCTCTCCTTAATATTTCTACTTACTACTGACTTCTGTATTTTATATAATTCCCTTCCTTTCTTATCTTCATTCCACCTTTTTTGCCAAATTTCCATTTCTTTACTCTTAATAATGGATTTTCCTTCCCCTTTCCCAATAGGTATTTTCATCGTTATTGCCTCATCAAAAGCCCTTTTTGCTAATTTATCTGACTTTATATATAAATATATATATATATATATATATATATATATATATATATATATATATATATATATATATATATATATATATATATATATATATAACGACATACTATATATAGTATGTCGTTTTCTCAATATTTCGGACAACATAGTATAATATGTCGTTTTTTTCAATACGACATATGTCGTATTGAAAAAAACGACATACTATAGTACAGTACGACATACTATAGTATGTCGTATTGAAAAAACGACATACATGTCGTCCGAAGAATTGAAAAAAACGACTCGTATGTCGTCCGAAAAATTGAAAAAAACGACATACTATAGTATGTGGTCAAAAAATTGAAAAAAACGACATACTATAGTATGTGGTCAAAAAATTGAAAAAAATGACATACTATAGTATGTGGTCGAAAAATTGAAAAAAATGACATACTATAGTCGTCAATTAATATTGACGACTATAGTCGTCAATGTCATTTTTTTCAAAAATTGAAAAAAATGACACTATAGTCGTCAATTTTCGGACGACATAGTTGTCCGAAAAATTGAAAAAAACAACATGCTAAGTATGTGGTCGAAAAATTGAAAAAAATGACATACTATTGTATGTCGTCCGAAATATTGAAAAAAACGACATACTAAGTATGTGGTCGAAAAATTGAAAAAATGACATACTATTGTATGTCGTCGAAAAATGTTGTTTTTTTCAATTTTTCGGACATATGTCGTTTTTTTCTATTTTTCGACCACATACTATATATAGTATGTCGTTTTTTTTCATTTTTCGTACGACATAGTATATAGTATGTCGTTTTTTTCAATATTTCGGACGACATAGTATAGTATGTCGTTTTTTTCAATTTTTCGGACGACATGTCGTTTTCTCCATATTTCGGACGACATAGTATAGTATGTCGTTTTTTTCAATTTTTCGACCACAGTATGTCGTTTTTTTTCAATATTTCGGACGACATACTATAGTATGTCGTTTTTCTCAATATTTCGACGACATAGTATAATATGTCGTTTTTTTCAAATTTTCGAACGACATAGTATAATGTCGTTTTTTTCAATATTTCAGACGACATACTGTAGTATGTCGTTTTTTTCAATTTTTCGTACGACAGTATAGTATGTCGTTTTTCTCAATATTTCGACGACATAGTATAATGTCGTTTTTTCAATATTTCAGACGACATACTGTAGTATGTCATTTTTTTCAATTTTTCGACCACATACTATAGTATGTCGTTTTTTTCAATTTTTCGTACGACATAGTATATAGTATGTCGTTTTTTTCAATTTTTCGACGACATAGTATAGTATGTCGTTTTTTTCAATTTTTTGGACATGTCGTTTTTTCTCAATATTTCGGACGACATAGTATGCTATAGTATGTCGTTTTTTTCAATTTGTCGACAACAGTATGTCGTTTTTTCTCAATATTTCGGACGACATACTATACTATGTCGTTTTTTTCAATTTTTCGAACAACAGTATAGTATGTAATTTTTTTCAATTTTTCGACCACATACTATAGTATGTCGCTTTTTCTCAATATTTCGGACGACATACTATATATAGTATGTCGTTTTTTTCAATTTTTCGTACGACATAGTATATAGTATGTCGTTTTTTTCAATTTTTCGACCACATACTATAGTATGTCGTTTTTTTCAATTTTTCGGACGTCATAATATAGTATGTCGCTTTTTCTCAATATTTCGGACGACATACTATAGTATGTCGTTTTTTTTTCAATTTTTCGTGACATAGTATATAGTATTTCGTTTTTTTCAATTTTTCGGACGACATACTATAGTATGTCGTTTTTTCTCAATATTTCGACGACATACAATAGTATGTCGTTTTTTTAAATTTTTCAGACGACATACTATAGTATGTCATTTTTTTCAATTTTTCGACCACATACTTAGTATGTCGTTTTTTTCAATATTTCGGACGACATAGTATATAGTATGTCGTTTTTTTCAATTTTTCAACGATATACTATAGTATGTCATTTTTTTCAATTTTTCGACCACATACGTATGTCGTTTTTTTCAATACGACATACTATAGTATGTTGTTTTTTCAATTGTTCGGACGACATATGTCGTTTTTTTCAATTTTTCGACGACAAACTATAGTATGTCATTTTTTTCAATTTTTCGGACGACATGTCGTTTTTTTCTATTTTTTGACCACATATTATATAGTATGTCGTTTTTTTAAATTTTCGTGCGACATAGTATATAGTATGTCGTTTTTTTTCAAAAAACGACATACTTAGTATGTCGTTTTTTTCAATTTTTCGGACAACTTCGTCGTTTTTTCTCAATATTTCGGACAACATACTATAGTATGTCGTTTTTTTTCAATTTTTCGACGACAAACTATAGTATGTCATTTTTTTCAATTTTTCGACCACAGACTATAGTATGTCGTTTTTTCTCAATATTTTGCACGACATAGTCCGAGATACATACTATAGTATGTCGTTTTTTCTCAATATTTCGACGACATACTATAGTATGTTGTTTTTTTCAATATTTCGGACATAGTATACTATATACGACATAGTATATAGTATGTCGTTTTTTCAATTTTTCGGACGACATGTCGTTTTTTCTCAATATTTCGGACGACATAGTATAGTATGTCGTTTTTTTTTAATTTTTCGACGACATAGTATAACATGTCGTTTTTTCCATTTTTCGAACGACATAGTATAGTATGTCGTTTTTTTCAATATTTCGGACGACATAGTATAGTATGTCGTTTTTTTCAATTTTAAGGACGACATGTCGTTTTTTTCTCAATATTTCGGACGACATAGTATTGTATGTCGTTTTTTTCAATTTTTCGACGACATAGTATAATATGTCGTTTTTTTCCATTTTTCGAACGACATAGTATAGTATGTCATTTTTTTCAATATTTCGGACGACATACTATAGTATGTCATTTTTTTAAATTTTTCGGACGACATGTCGTTTTTTTCTATTTTTTGACCACATACTATATATAGTATGTCGTTTTTTTCAATTTTTCATACGACATAGTATATAGTATGTCATTTTTTTCAATTTTTCGACCACATACTATAGTATGTCGTTTTTTTCAATTTTTCGGACGACATACTATGGTATGTCGTTTTTTTCAATTTTTCGGACGTCGTTTTTTCTCAATATTTCGGACGACATAGTATAGTATGTCGTTTTTTTCAATTTGTCGACCACAGTATGTCGTTTTTTCTCAATATTTCGACGACATACTATAGTATGTATTTCGGACGACTATGTCGTGCAAAATATTGAGAGAAAACGAAATACTATAGTCTGTGGTCGAAAAATTGAAAAAAATGACACTATAGTTTGTCGTCGAAAAATTGAAAAAACGACATACTATAGTATGTCGTTCGAAATATTGAGAAAAAACGACATACTAAGTATGTGGTCGAAAAATTGAAAAAAACGACATACTAAGTATGTGGTCGAAAAATTGAAAAAAATGACATACTATAGTATGTCGTCCGAAAAATTTTAAAAAACGACATACTATTGTATGTCGTCGAAATATTGAGAAAAAACGACATACTATACTATGTCGTCCGAAAAATTGAAAAAAAACGACATACTATACTATGTCGTTCGAAAAATTGAAAAAAACGACATACTATAGTATGTCGTCCGAAAAATTGAAAAAAATGACATACTATAGTGTCGTTCGAAAAATTGAAAAAACACGACATACTACATACTATGTCGTACGAAAAAATTGAAAAAAACGACATACCATAGTATGTCGTCCGAAAAATTGAAAAAAACGACATATGTCGTCCGAAAATTTGAAAAAAAACGACATACTATAGTATGTCGTATGAAAAATTTAAAAAACGACATACTATTGTATGTCGTCGAAATATTGAGAAAAAAACGACATACTATAGTATGTCGTCCGAAAAATTGAAAAAAACGACATAATAAGTATGTCATTTTTTGAAAAAAAACGACATACTATATACTATGTCGTCCGAAAAATTGAAAAAAACGACATACTATAGTATGTCGTCCGAAATATTGAGAAAAAGCGACATACTATGTGGTCGAAAAAAAACGACATACTAAGTATGTGGTCGAAGAATTGAAAAAAATGACATACTATAGTATGTCGTCCGAAAAATTTAAAAAAACGACATACTATAGTATGTCGTCGAAATATTGAAAAAAACGACATACTATAGTATGTCGTCCGAAATATTGAGAAAAAGCGACATTCTATAGTATGACGTCCAAAAAATTGAAAAAAACGACATACTATAGTATGTGGTCGAAAAATTGAAAAAAATGACATACTATAGTATGTCGTCGAATAATTGAAAAAAACGACATACTATATATTATGTCGTATGAAAAATTTA